AAAAAGAAAAAAAGCTGGAAGTGGTGCTGTGGTTCAAGTGGTAGAGCGCTAGCCTTGAGCTGAAGAGCTGAGGGAGAGCGCCCAGGCCCAGAGTTCAGGCCCCACGACTGGACCCAAAAGGAAAAAAGAAAATGTTGGGTTGTTTCTATATAAATGTGAGTTAATGGTTATTTTCACCTCGAGTTTTCATCTTCACACTTACTACTTTGTTCTTCAGATGGTGGAGCCAGGGCAAGATCTACTACTTGCCGCTTTGAGTGAGAGTGGGATCAGTCCAAATGACCTCTTTGATATCGATGGTGGAGATGCAGGGATTGCCACTCCAACTCCTACCACGCCAGTGCAGCAGGTAAGAACTTTCCAAAGCCTCTACTAAACAGGAGGGACTTTTTTTAAACTTGTAATTTCCATTTATGGAAATGCGTACTATTAAATCTTAATTTGAAATATACATATAAAATTCTACTTTTAACTTGATTATTTTTCCTCTTTCAAAGTGTAGAAGTAATTATAGTAAGAATCAAATATAATTCTCTGCTTTGTTATTATCATATATGTAAATATAAGAGATGGACTCTATAGAGTTTTGTAGGTTATTAATTGTCTTACAGCTGTCTTTGTACTTTAGATGGACATATTTCTGTGAGTGTGCTTGCATGCGTGCACAGGGATTTGAACTCAAGGTCCTGTGCCCTTACTCAACTTTTTTTCCGCTCACTGCCGGCACTCTACCACTTAAGCCTTGTTGGCAGTCTTCAACCTTCTACCATCAGCTATCAGCCTCTTGAGCAGCTAGAATTACAGGTGGCAGCCACCAGCACCAGTATTAGTGTAGTTTTGGAGAGATTTTATGCTTGCAAAGATTGTTGGGTTCTATTTGGCGTAGGGATTTTACATTCAATTTTGAATGTAATGCTTGACCTTTTTTCCCTTTTTGGCCTTGTTCATGCTAGGCAGGGACCCTCCCACTGGAGCTGTACCCGTCTTATTTTTTTTGTCTGCTTTTTAAATAAATGCAATACTTGCTATTCTTGTTCTTGAAACAGAATTCACTGCTGTCTTCCTCTATTTCTCTGTTGTTTTCTTCCCAGTCGGTGCCATTTAGTCCATTAGAGCTAGGTTTGGAGACAGAAGCAGCAGTTCCTGTTAAACAAGAGCCAGAGGCTGTACCTACTCCCGCACTGTTAAATGTGAGGGTAAGAGTTACTCAGATTTGCAATTACTTCTGAAAAAACCTAGGTTGATAGCAAGAATGTAATCTTTTAAAATATGAAAATTTTGTCTTATTTTTGTTTTTTGGTACTTTTTCAGTATCATACCCTGTCTCCTACTTTGTAAAACCTTTTTCTTTCACTCTCTTGGAACATAGGTGGATCACAAGGTAATTGGAACAGAATAAAATAATGTTGATCTTATTACAAGTCATAAACTTGACACAAAATTCTTGAAATAAAGATGAAATGGACATTATCCTGCTATTTTCATTTTTGCCTTTTTGTTGTACGTTGGTATGTACAATTTTTATGTGATTGTAATTTTACTTTAAAGGTAGAATTCCTCTTACCTTTCCAAAAATGAGCAATTATTAACTAAAGACTAGTAGAATAAAAGTTTTAGAAACACTGGATATGTTTTGATAATTTGTACTATTATTAAGGGTTTATGTTTTAAAGTACTAAGTAGGGCTGGGAAGGTAGCTCAGTGGTAGAGCACTTACCTTGCATGCATGAGGCCCTGGGTTCGATTCCTCAGCACCACATAAGCAGAAAAAAAAAAAAAAGCTGGAAGTAGCGCTGTGGCTCAAGTGGTAAAGTGCTAGCCTTGAGCTGAAGAGCTGAGAGACAGCGCCCAGGCCCAGAGTTCAGGCCCCACGACCGGACCAAAAATAAATAAATAAATAAAAAACAAAGTGCTAAGTATAGCCGAGTGCTGGTAGCTCATGCCTGTAATCCTAGCTACTCAGGAGGTTGAGATCTGAGGATCCTGGTCCAGAGCCAGCCTGGGTAGGAAAGTCTGTTAGACTCTTATCTCCAATGAACCACCAGAAAACGGAACTGGCACTGTGGCTCAAGTAGTAGAGTGTCAGCATTGAGTGAAAAAGCTAAGGAACAGTGCCCAGGCCCTGAGTTTAAGCCTCATGACCAAAGGGGAAAAAACTACTAAGTAAAAATACAAATTTTTAACTAAAGGAGTGGTATAGAAATATGTAGTTTGAGGAGAAAAGAAAAAAGTAGATTCAGATTTATAAAACTGTCTCACTTGTACTAATAGTCACAGACATGGTATCTTCAAATAGGCATCTTTTTTCATTTCCTCTTGTTTGTTCCCCTGTCATCTCGCCCTTTAATTGAAAATTGCTTTATGAGCCTGGCACTAGTGGCTCATGCCTGTTAATCCTAGCTCTGCAGGAGGCTGAGATGTGAAGGTTATGCTTTGAATCCAGCCCAGGCAAGAAAGACTCTTACCTTGAATAAAACTACCAAGAAACCAGATGGAGCTGTGACTCAAGTAGTGGATCAACATGCTAGCCTTGAGTGTAAAAAGAAGCTCAGAGATAGTGCCCAAGCCCTGAGTTTAAGTCTCAGGAACACACACACATGGCTTTGTCTGTTTTTCCTGTCTTTTTATTTCTTTGTCGGTCGTGGGGCCCCAGAGTTGAGGCTCTTCAGCTGTGGACTAGCACTCTACCACTTGTGCCTCAGCCCCACTTCCAGCCTTTTCTGCTATATGGTGCTGAGGAATTGAACTGAGCACCTCATGCATGCAAGGCAAGAAGCATTCTACCACTGAGCTACCTTCCCTGCCCCCCCCCCCCTGTGTTTTTTGTTTTAAGTGCTGAACGTTAGTGTAGCCTGTATGGTGGCAAATGACACAGTGAACAGGAATCTTGCAATGTTTGAAACTGAGAATTGGACTTAGGAGAGCCTGGATCTCCAGTTGGATGATTGACATACTTAGGGTTATCTACTTAGGGGTGGTTCTTTCTGTAACTAGTTTTCTTATTTTGATAACTGTAAATCAGTTAGTGTTCCTTTATGCTTGTTGATTATATAAAATGTCACCCTGCTTACTATCTCTTTTTTTCCAAGTGGTAGGTTCTAACTTGGTAATTTAAAACTAATTGGAAATGAAGTGCCAATACGCAAGAATAAAGCCAATTAAAACAATTTTTTTTAATGCCAGTATTGAGGCTTGAGCTCAGGACCTTATGTTCTTACTCAACTTTTTCACTGATATGTGGCGATCTACTATTTGACCTCAGTTTCCAGCTTTATCATTTTGCTGGTTAATTAAAAGATGAGTCGTGTGTGTGTGTGTGTGTGCGCGCGCGCGTGCGTGCGCGCGCCAGTGCCGGGACTTGAAATCAGGACCTGGGTACTGTCCCTGACCTGCTTTTGCTCAAGGCTAGCACTCTACCACTTGAGCCACATCACCACTTCAAAATGTGATCTTCAAGTCTCAATGTCCTCAATATATAGGTTTATAGGCATGAGTCATTGGCTTAGTTTTAGATTATTAAATGGCCTACCAAGTTTATTAGGTATACACTAGAGAAGAAGGCATTTTTCAATGTGTAAAATGTTTCATTTTCTTTTCTAGCAGCAGCCTCCATCTACTACGACATTTGTGCTGAATCAGATAAATCAACTTCCAGCCTTAGGATCTACAATTGTAATGACTAAAACACCACCTGTAACAACCAATAGGCAAACCATCACTTTAACAAAGTTTATCCAGACTACCGCAAACACACGCCCTTCAATCTCAGCACCAGTAGTCCGAAATGCCATGACTTCTGCACCTTCAAAAGACCAGGTTCAACTGAAGGACCTACTAAAAAATAATAGTCTTAATGAACTTATGAAATTGAAACCACCTGCCAATATTGCTCAGCCAGTTGCAACAGCAGCTAGTAAGTATTTTTCAGTGTCAACTTTTTTCTGTGGTAAGTTATATCAAAGTGATATTTTGTTTAGCATTTATTTCTGGCCTTTTTGGTGATTAATTGGGGATAAGAGTCTTAAAGCCTTTGCTACCAGTGCTGGCATCAAACCTCAGATTTGAACCACCTGAGTAGCTAGGATTACAAGTGTGAGCCCCCAGAGCCCCCTTTTTTTTTCTTTAAATGAGCTGAATGAAATGTCTTAAGTAATGTTGGCCTTTGGCATTTGTAAATTATTAAATAGTTCTGATTATGGTATCCTGTTCATTGGTAAGTTTTAAGTTCCAGGCATACGCATTAGTTTTCTAAATTTAATTTCTGTGTGTGTGCATGCATGCATGTGCAGGTCCTGGGTCCTTGAACTCAGGGACTGGGCGCTGTTCTTGAGCCTCTTTGTGCTCAAGGCTAGCGTTCTATCACTTGAGCCACAGTGCTACTCCCAACTTTTTTGAGTAAGTTATTGGAGATAAGAGTCTCACAGACTTTTCTGGCTTTGAACCTTGATCCTCAGCTCTCAGCCTTCTGAGTAGCTAGGATTATAGGCGTGAGCCACTGGCACCCAGCTCAACTTATTCTCTCTCTCTCTTTTTTTTGGTCAGTTGTGGGGCTTGAGCTCTGGGCCTGGGCTCTGTCCAGTGCTCTACCACTTGAACCAAGTGCCACTTCCGGTTTTCTGGTGGTTAATTGGAGATAAGAGTCTTTCCTGCCTCTCATCCTCCTGAGTAGGGTTATAGGCATGAGCCACTGGCACCCCACCCAGCCAGCTATGTGTTTTTAAAGAATGAATAGTGGGGTGTCGGTGGCTCACACATTAATCCTAGTTACTCAGGATGCTGACATCTGATGATCGCGGTTCAAAGCCAGCCTGGGTAGGAAAGTCGGTGAGACTCTTATTCCAATTAACCACCAGAAAACCGGAAGTGGCACTGTGTCTCAGGTGGTAGAGCACTCACCTTGAGCTGAAAGAGCTCAGGGAAAGATCCCAAATCCAGGGTTCAAGCCCCACAACTGACAAAAAAAAGAAAAGGACAGCTTTTCTGGGGATGTGGCTTAGTGGTAGAGAGCTTGCCTAACATGCATGAAACCATGGGTTCAATTCCTCAGTACCAACACAAACAGAAAAAGCTGGAAGTGGTGCTGTGGCTCAAATGGTAGAGTGTTAGCCTTGAGCAAAATAAGCTCAGGGACAGTACACACGCCTGGCAAAAAAAACAAAAAAAAAAAACCCCAAAAACAAAAACCACATAGCTTTGAATGTTTTCATACTTAGATGTAGCATTGAAAAAATTATATCCTCGGGCTGGGAAGTTGGCTCAGTGGTAGAGCGCTTGCCTTGCGTGCTTGAGGCCCTGGGTTCGATTCCTCAGCACCACATAAGCAAAAAGAAAAAAAGCCAGAAGTGGCGCTGTGGCTCAAGTGGTAGAGCACTATCCTTGAGCTGAAGAGCTGAGGGATAGTGCCCAGGCCCAGAGTTCAGGCCCCACGACCGGACCAAAAAAAAAAAAGAAAAGAAAAAATTATATCCTTCGGTTTTTGAAATGGGTAAATTAATGAATTTTCTTTCTTTCTTTCTTTTTTTTTTTTGTCGGTTGTGGGGCCTGAACTGTGGGCCTGGGTGCTGTCTCTAAGCTCTTCAGCTCAAGGCTAGCCATTTGAGCCACAGTGCCACTTCTGGTTTTTTCTGCTTATGTGGTGCTGAGTAATCGAACTCAGGGGCCTCATGCATGCAAAGCAAGCACTCTACCACTGAGCCACCTTCCCAGCCCCAAATTAGTGAACCTTTAAACTGCAGGAAAAATCTTGAGATTTTTGTTGTAAAATGTAAACTGATTTCTCCCCTTAGCCGATGTAAGCAATGGTGCAGTAAAGAAAGAGTCTTCTAATAAAGAAGTAGCAAGAATATGGATAAATGACATGAAAATGAGGAGTTTTTCCCCAACCATGGTGAGTTTTCAACAGGGTATTTTTTGTTCATGTAATGTAGAACATTTGACGAAAAGTGCTTCAGAACAACCTTCAGAAAACATTTTTTTTTACATCTTAGAATAGAGGGTAGGAAATTAACTGAGGGAGGCAGATGATGAAAAGAGAAATGGTGGAAGAACACACAGTATGCATACTTGAAGACCTTCCTAGGAAACTTGAGGTGAGCTGAAAAAGATGAGGAAAAGGATGGGGAGGGGAGACTGAAGGTGCATTTACACACAAATCATCAAGTCAGACTGAAACCCCTTTGTGCAACTATTTGAAGAAAACCACATTTTAGCAAGGATTTGTTTAATATAGCAATGTTAAAGAGGACAAAATGGATTAGAGAAACCTTCATAAGACTGAGTGGAGGGGTGTCATGAACCAGTGTGAAACTTAAATGTCACATGATGCACTGAATGGAGTGACTAAGAACGTGTGTACTTGATGGGAAGCGGTGTAGTATTACATGTAGTACTTACATGTTCTTGTTACAAATGTTACCTGAGCAGGAAAAGAAGACAATGTAAAGTTAACTGAAAAATTTTGATAACTATTGTTTAGAATTGAACCTGATATCTACTATGAGCTCTCAGATATAAAATACTTCTTAATTATGTAATCAGTTTTTTTTTTTTTGGTAGTGAGGCTTGAACTCTGGGCCTAGGTGCTGTCCCAGAGCTCTTCAGCTCAAAGGGAGTGCTTTATCTCTTGAGCCACAGGGCCACTTCCGTTTTTTCTGGTGGTTTATTGGAAACAGTAGTCTCACAGACTTTCCTGCCTGGGCTGCTTTGAACCATCATCCTCAGATCTCAGCCTCCTGAGCAGCTAGGATGATAGGCACAAGCCACCAGCACCCAGCTAATCAATTTTTTCCTTAAGTTTTGAAACTGCTATATGGCTTATGTCAATTCTATACATTTATTTAATTACTTTGAATAGCTATATATAATTGATTTTTATAAGAAGTATACTATATGAGTCCTCTTTCAATAAATATCAAATGTGATAGCTATCTGTATTAAATAACAGTGTAAGATACATCAAAAAAACTGTTTAAAGCCAGCCTGGGCAGGAAAGTCCATGAGACTTTTTTTTTTTTTTTTTGATTGGTCATGGGGCTTGAATTCTGGGCTTGGGTTCTGTCCCTGAGTGCTTCAGCTCAAGGCGAGTACTCTACCGCTTGAGCCACAGCGCCACTTCCGGTTTTCTAGTGGAAAGATAAGAGTCTCATGGACTTGCCTTGCCTGGGCTGGCTTTGAACCGTGATCCTCAGATCTCAGCCTCCCGAGTAGCTAGGATTACAGACATGAGCCACCAGCGCTTGGCCCTCCATGAAACTCTTATCTCCAATAAACCACCAGAAAAACAGAAGTGGTGCTGTGGCTCCAATGGTAGAGGGCTCGCTTTGAGCGCAGGGATAGCACCCAAGCCCAGAGTTCAAGCCCCGTAACTGGCAACAACAGCAACAACAAACCAAACTAGTATGAGATAGCACAGGTTGCATAGGTTGAGTTTGGAGGAAGGTGAAGCTTCTTCTAAGATTGCCCCAATATGGAGGTGTGTGGCTGGGGTTTTTTATATGGGGAGAATTGCAGGCATTTTTTGGAAGACAATTTGTAATTCACAGTGAAGAGGTGATGACTGTGCTTAGATGATGGTATACATCAGGAAGAAGTCTCAGGGTAGGCTGTGGGGATTGTGGAGGATCCTGAATTGACCTTCCTGGACTTTGGCTTGCTATAGTCCCTGTGAGGAGCCACTAGAAGTAGAGTTAGGAGAGCCATCCATGATTCAAGTTGGATGAGTTCAAAACCAGGTGGATGGAGGTTCCGTACTAATGGAAGAGAGGGTTAAGAGGGGACTATAGCCAGGCGCCTGTAATCCTAACTACTCAGGAGGCTGAGATCTGAGGATTGTGGTTCAAAGCCAGTCCGGACATGAAAGTCTGTGAGACTCTTATATCCAATAAACCTCGAGAAAACTGGAAGTGGCGCTGTGGCTCAAGTG